GCATGATTACTCCCTCTTGGAGTAAGCATCCATGCAATGATAAAAGCAATAATCCTTGGTTCAAGCTCCATTTTTCCAGCATTAAGAGTCCTTACAGAATCATTTTGATTTTTGAGACAGCTGCGAAAAAACTGAATTTTATTAAAATCAGGTAACTCTGCAATGTTACCTCTGGATACCTTTACACCAACATCATGAAGACCAACCACTTCTTCCCACACCTCAGGAGTAATCACCAAATTTATACCTTTGACTTGAGACCTAAGAGTAGAGCCACTGACAATAAGGTTGGCATAAAATACCCTTACTAGATCAGGTTGAATGTTGCCAGTGTGCTCTAAAAAAGTCCTTAACTTTTGTCTTTTTAATTTCCTTGTTAAAGAGGTAAAGCCTTCTTCATCCAACCAAGCAAACTTAATATACTTAGGAATTACCAGTTGCTTTTGGTTGAAGTTGGAAATGAAGTTGTTCATTTTGTCAATGTCTCCATTGAACCATGCTTCAATATGTCCTCTAGCTTGGCCAGCAGCAGAGGAAGATTCCCCCTTATGTTTCTTTCTTGATTCTCTTAAGCATCTTGTAGCACAGATTTGAGAAGAAATTTGATAGGTACAGTATGTGAGTACGAGAGAAGAGAGAAGAAGAGAAGAGGAGAACCTGAAAATGCAAAACCTGATTTCTCTTTGATGAATAGAAGTTCGGATTCCAAAATTTTGAAGTCCGAATGACAGTCTTGCAGAATTTCAGTCTTAATTGACTGTGTCCCCTTGACTGAGTGCAGAATCACATGCTTTGGGCAGTGGGTACATTAGCTAAAGTGTTCTTGGATAAGTATTGACTTGGTCAAAATGATACAGTAAATGCACTTGCAGAATTTGATAAGCACTAAATCTTGGAAATTTGTCCTTGATTAGCTGAGAATTTTTCAATTGATTTCTAAGAACGAATTAATCGATTAATCAACAAATTAATCAATTAATTTGATCTTGAATATTAGGTTTGAAAAAGCAAGAGTGAAATAATCGATTAAAAACATAAAAGAATCGATTATTTTTGTACTGAAAAATTTAATGAAATGTCAGCAAAATTTTAATCGATTAAAAAACGAAGAAGAATCGATTAAATTTGACCTTTTAATGATTTTAACTGATGTAAATCCTTTTTAATTGATTAAAACAGAGAGAATAAAACTATACTAAACATTTTAATCAATTCATTCGTATTTTAATCGATTAAAACTGTACGGACAAATTTTATGGTATTCTCTGTAACTAATATTAATCGATTAAAACAGTTTTATATCAATTAAAATACTCAGTTCATGAATCCAGAATCAAAATTTGCTGATTGGGTACCAAAGAACTTCCAGATTTTGTTCCTGCAAAATAGAGTTAACATATATATGGTACCCTTATTATAATCATTGGGTCCAATCAAGTTATTTGAAATGAATTCTTGGGAATCCACTTCATTCTACCTCTTGGTATAGCATACTTCTTGATTCTACAAAATTTAATAGAATGACCTCTTTTCATACAATAAAAACATTTAATAACAGATGATGAGTATGATTTCCTATTTACAAATGTTTTTCTGATTTTCTAGCTAGATGTAAATCCAATGCCAGATTTGTCAAAAATAAGTTTTTGTGACCCAAGAAGAACATCAAGATTAGCTTGACCTTGTGTAAATTTAGAAACGGTTTGTGACAAAAAATCAATCTTCTTTTGTAAATCTGGACAATTATTTCATGATTTATTACATATGCAATCGGAATTATCATGGATTAATTTTAAGAAATCAAGATCAGTTTCATCTTCAAGAATTTTCTTTTCAAGAGAATTAACTCTATTTTCTAGCCAATTGTTCATGCCTTTTAGCCTATCATTTTCTTTTTGAAGTTTCTTGGTTTCTTCATGCATTTCATTAAATGCTTCTTGTAATGAATTATAATTCACAAAATTAGAAGAAGAGTTAGAACTTACACTACTGGTTTGATAGTTCTGGTTAGCCATTAGACACAAGTTAGCTTCTTCATCATCAGAATTTTCTGTTGATGAGGTATCATTGTCATCCCATGCTATATATGCTCTTCTTTTGATCTTTTCTTCTTTCTTATCATTGTATTTATTCTTTTCTGGGCACTCCATTCTTACATGACCCTGCTTACCACAACCATAACATTTATAGTTAAAAGAATCAGATTTATTTTCATACCTTTTATGTTTTTCTTTATCTTGAATCTTTCTCTTGAGAAACTTGTTAAACTTTTTGACAAACAGTCCAAGATTTTCACTTTCTTCCTCTGATTCTTGATCTTTTCCTTCAACTTTGAGTGCTATGCTTCTACCTTTCTTTTCATAGATTTCTTGCTCATTGAATCTGTTAATTTCCATCTCATGTTCTTTGAGTTTGCCAAATAAGGAAGTTGTTGTCATGATGGATAAGTCTTTTGACTCTGAAATTGTTGTGACCTTAGGCTGCCATGACCTGTCAAGACATTTCAAAACTTTTATATTTAATTCCTCTTTATCAAAAGTTTTACCTAAGCCCATTAGATGATTGATGATATGAGTGAAGCACTTCTGCACATATGAAATACTTTCTCCAGTTTGCATTTTAAACAACTCATATTCTCTTATGAGAGTATGCTTTATAGCTCTCTTTACATCAGTCGTTCCCTCATGAGTGACCTCGAGAACTTCCCTCATTTCCTTGGAAGATTTGCATTGAGAGACCCTGAAAAACTCATCCATGTTTAGTGCAGAAGTAATTATGTTTTAGCAGTACAATCACTTTGAACTTTTCTTTTCTCTTCATTATTTAAACTAGACCATTCTTTTTCTGTAATTAATGGACCATTAATAATTACATCCCAAACATTCCTATAAATGAATTCAATAAAGATCTTCATCCTAATCTTCCAAAATGGGTAATCTGTACCACAAAACAGTGGAGGTCTATTAATAGAAGCTCCCTTAGAAAAAGGTAATTTGTTTTCATCCATAAAAGATTTGGACCGAAAGTCTTGAGTATTTTTCAAGACTCTTGCTCTTGATACAAATTGTTAGAAAATGAGGCTGAGATCAAGAGGGAGGGTGAATTGATCTTTGAAAGATTTTCACAATTTACAAATTATCTATTTCAAAAATTAAGAGTTCTGATCAATTCTTGAATCAAACAAAACAAACAATCAAAATAAAGGCAGCAGCAGAATTAAAGAGAGAAAGATTTAGAGAGATATAACAAAGATTTATACTGGTTCACCCAATCCCATGGCTACGTCCAGTTCTCAGCCAAATTCCAGCTGAGTTCCACTAGATTGAATGTTTTACAGATTATAGATTCCTCACACACCCAATCTACCACAAGAACCAAAATTCCAGTCCTTGCACCTAAACCTTCACCAAGAACCAACTTCCAGTTCTTGAACCACCCTGTAGCCAAATTCTAGCCACAGAAACCATTGTCCACACTTGTATACACTCACAATACAATATTGAAATGTAAAGAGAAATAAAAAGAAGAAACTAGAACACTCAAACCCAGATTATGCAGCTCTGCAGAATGAGTTTCTTCACAAAAGAAATGCAAAAATTGTCTCAAGAAAGAACTTTGAAAAACTTCACAAAACTTGCGTGATTCTTTCTTCAAAGTAGCTTTTATGATTGCTTGATTGATTGCTCAAAGGTGTATATTAAAAGACTCAAGCAATCATGTTTATATAGAGATTTGTTCTAACTGCTGGTTTAATTAATTTGTTAAACACAATCTTTTAATTTGTTAAAAGTCTTGAATTAATCTGTTAAAACTTCTTTTAATCTGTTAAAATGTTCTTGATCATTTTTCAGATTTGTTTTAACTGATGCGACATCGTTTCAATCGATTAAAACACTTTGTAAAAATCCCTTAAGTTGTTTTAATCGATTAATTCGCCTTTTAATCAATTAAAAAACTGCTAAATGTTTTCATAAAACTTTCTAAGTGATTTTAACTGATAACAATATGTTTTAATCGATTAAAAACACTTTGAAAAAATCTCTCAGTTGTTTTAATCGATTATTTCGCATTTTAATCGATTAAAAACCTGCCAAATAGTTTCATAAAACTTTCTAAGTCATTTTAACTGATAACACATCGATTAAAATCCTGACAGAACTTCTTTCAAAAACTTTCAAATGGTTTTAATTGATTAATTCACATATACATCGATTAAAATACTGACAGAATATATTTCAAAATACTTCAAGTTATTTTAATCGATTATTTCGAGTTTGTATCGATTAAAATACTGGCAGAACATTTTTCGAAACATCTTAAGTCATTTTAATCGATTATTTCGATTCTACATCAGTTAAAATACTGGCAGAAGGTTTTCAAAAACTCCTTTAATGAAAATAATCAATTAATTCAAGGATATATTAATTAAAACAGTTCCAGTGTATGTTTTAAAAGGTTTTAATTGATTATTTCGATAACCTATCAGTTAAAAACCTGTTATATAAGTGTTAAGAACATTTTAACTGATAAAGCTCATATAATATCAGTTAAAACAATTACTTGAAAACCATTTAACCGATTACTTTAGTTTTTAACAGATTAAACACATTTAGAGGCATTTGCAAAATCTTTTAAATGATGAAATCTCATGCCGCAGAAAGATATGAATGATTATACCTATGTATAGATACATACTCACTAATCACTCTACCCTTTTAACCAAGTAACCTTTGACTTCAACAGAATAGTCTTTAACTTCATTTTGACTTCATCAAATCAACAAGATCTTCGTTTTATCAAATGATTCAAAAAGATCTTCATCACTTTCATTTATTTCATTAGAAACAGTTCTAAATCACACTTTGTATCACCCTAATTCCAAATTTCTCCAGGGGGAAAGAATATACAAAAGTTCTTGAACAACATTTCCACATTCAATGTCATTTGAAAATGATCATATCAGAGGATCCATTTCCACAACTCTACACCCTAGCATATTGTTAATTTGAAGTTGGTTTCCCTGCAAGCAACTGACGTGGCCATGAATCCATTGGGGTGGGATACCTAGCATGTGGTTTACTGATCGTGGAGGTGGGTTTTGGGGTCAGCTCAGCAACATTATGAGCTGATAAAGTACCTTGGTCATGATGATGACTTAAGGGGACAACCAAAACTGCATGTCCTTGCTGCAGTGTAGGTTCTGTGGTAGACAATTGGAGACTCTCTGCTGGAAACTTTGTAGCCATTTTTGGTTGTGGAAATTCCAAATGAGAAGGTACATTGATCAGGCTAGGTCTACAGTGGGCTACTCTTGCTTTTATCTCACCTTCAAGTTTCTCAATTTGAGTTTGCAGAACACAATTCTCCTCTTCCACCTCAATTTTCTCCTTAGTCACCTGCCCAATGAAGATACGAACTTGAATTCATGACATAATCACCACAAGAACATATTCATTGTGGAATCAACTCTGGTTTCCAATATTTCTGGTTTAGTTTAATTTTTGTTAACTTCTAGGAAAAGAATATGTATCAAACTAAAAAAGAAAAAGTTATGGAAAAATCACACATTACATTTCTTTTATTGCTTAAACATGGTTTACATGGTGAGTACAAATTTGAAGAAAAGTTGGTGAAAAGCTTACATAGTGAGTCTCAGACAACAGAGATATACTATCCTTTATCAAGGACTCGATCTGACTGAGCAAGTTAACGTAAAAACATGGATCCCATTGAGAATTTGGGAGAAAATAGCAGAGAAGACAGTAGAGAAGAAAAGCTGATCTAATTCATATATAGATCGAATTCAAAAGGAAAAATCCAATATATTGGAGGAAGAAAAGAAGGTTAAAAATAAAAAGGAAAAAAATTCAAATATGCAGTTAGTCAAATCTGCATAAAACAATACTAACAAATGGAAAAGGTACACGTGTAACTAATAGCCTCCCCTCAAGCTGGAGAGTGAATATTAAGAACACCCAGCTTGGAAATATTGTTAAGAAAAGGTGAAGGATCGAGAGCTTTGGTGAAAACATCTGCAAGTTGATTTGTAGAGGAAATGGGAAGAATATGGAAGAGGTTGGCCTGCACACGATCTCTGACCACATGACAATCAATGTCAATGTGTTTGGTGCGTTCATGAAAGCTAGAATGAATAGCAATGTGACGAGCAACTTGGTTATCACAATAGATGACAGCTTGATTGGGCTTGGAGATGTTCAAATCATGAAGCAAGTAATTGAGCCATTGAAGCTCGCAACTGGTGATAGCAAGAGCCCTGTATTTTGCTTCTGTTAAGGAACGAGAAACAGTGTGTTATTTTTTTGATCGCCAAGAAATCAACGAATTACCCAAAAAGATACAGAATCCAGTGGTAGAGCGACGAGTTGTCAAACATGAAGCCCAATCTGAATCACTAAATCCTTTCAATTGAATGTTGGAATTGGAAGAGAAAAACAAACCTTGACCAGGATTAGCTTTCAAATAATGAAGTATACGATTGGCAGCAGCTTGATGGAAGACAGTGGGCTTTTGATTAAACTGACTTAGAAAATTAACAGCGAAACTTATATCTGGTCGCGTATTTGTAAAATACAAAAGTCGTCCAATAAGGCGGCGATAAGCATCTGCATCACAAAGTTCAGCATTATCATCGAAAAACAATTTGGTGTCCTTGATAATAGGAGTAGAACATGGTCGAGCAGCTAGATGACCACTGTCAGCAAGGATATCAAGAGTGTATTTGCGTTGACAAATGTAAATGCCTTGTGTAGTACGAGCAACTTCTAGGCCAAGAAAATATTTCAGTTGTCCCAAATCTTTAATCTGAAATTGTTGATTAAGAAATTGCTTGACGGTGTTGATTTCATCAATTGAATCACCTCCAAGAATTATATCATCTACATAAATGAGTAAAGCAGTGAAGGAAGAAACATTTTTCTTTGTAAAAAGAGAATGATCAGATTGAGATTGTATAAAACCAATTGAAAGAAGAGAAGTAGATAATTTGGCAAACCACTGCCTACTAGCCTGTTTTAATCCATAAAGGGATTTGGTTAAGCGGCAGACCTGATTTGCCTGAGGAGGTATCACGCCAGGGGGGGATCCATGTACACTTCCTCATTGAGATCTCCATGAAGGAAGGAATTATTGACATCTAGTTGAACAAGATGCCAATTCTTAATAGTTGCAATAGCAATCATGAGTCTAACAGTGGTAATTTTAACAACAGGAGAAAAAGTGTCTAAGAAATCTACTCCTTCTAATTGAGTGAAACCCTTAGCCACTAGTCTAGCCTTATGTCTTTCAATAGAACCATCAACTTTATATTTGGTTTTATAAACCCATTTACAACCTATAGTTCTCTTTCCAGGGGGAAGATTAGTGAAATACCAAGTCTTATTTTCTTCTAAGGCTTTTATTTCTTTACGCATAGCATCAATCCATTCAGGGTAACAAGCTGCTTGTTTATAAGTAGTAGGTTCAAAATTGTTAGAAATAGCAAGAATGTATTTCAAATGTTTTGAAGATATTTTTTTATAAGAGAGAACAGAAGATAGAGGATAAGAAATGATACTATTTTTAGATTTGTTGGTGTTGTCATCTCTTGAAGGATTTCAATAAGAATCGAATTGTTGGAGTCTATCGAGTACTTAAGGAATTGCAATGGAAATCCTGCAGATAATATGGTGCCTTTCTCATTCTAGTAGATCTTCGAGGAGCAGGCTGGTTAGGTGTTCGATTGGAAATATCTTCTTTTGTCACTTGGAAGGAAATATATTGAGGATTTGAAAACGGATGCACATGATTAGACCTGACTTTCTTATGCATGAGATTGTTAGAATAAAAAAAGAATTGAAAATCAGTCAATGTGAAAAGATCAGTGTCATCAACAATATTAGTTTTAACATAGGGAAATTCATTTTCATAGAATATCACATTTCTGGATATAGAAATTTCTCTAGAATGTAAATCAAGAGTCACATAACCTTTGGTGCCAGGTTTATATCCAAGGAAAACACTTTTTCTGGCTCTAGGATCTAGCTTCGTACGGTTGTTATGAATTGTAGATGTGAAACAAAGACAACCAAACACTTTTAAATCATTAAGAATAGGAAGTTGATTATGCAGAATTTGGAATGGAGATTGGTTCCTTATGGTTTTACTTGGCAGCCTGTTGATTAGGTAGATAGCATGAACAACAACATAGGACCAAAAACATTTTGGAAGATTGGCTTGCAATAACAAGCTACGTGTGACATTCATTATGTGTTGATGTTTCCTCTCCACCCTTCCATTTTGTTGAGGTGTCTCTACACAAGAAGTTTGATGAATAATACCATTTTTATCATAGAATTCAGGATAAGAAAACGTTTTCCCATTGTCGGTTCGAAAATTTTAATATTACAGACCAAATTGGTTTTTAACAAGGATAATAAAATTGTTCAATAGACTCTAGTCTCATGTTTATTCTTCATAAGAAAAAGCCATGTGTGTCTAGAGAAATCATCAATAATAGTAAGAAAATATCTATGACCATGTATAGAAGAAATACCAATGGGACCCCATATATCTATATGAATCATTTCAAAAATTGTACTTGGAAACATGAATATTGTTATTAAAGGGAAGTTTATGTTGCTTGGCCGAATGACATACATCACAAATTTTTTCAGTGCTATTATGAATGTAAGGAAAATCTTTAATCATATTTTCAATTATCTTGCTAGAAGGATGTCCCAATCTGTTGTGCCAAAGATTGGAAGTGGAATAATTTCATCTGCGAGTATTAATACTTGGTGTTGTCATCAGTGAGGCACAATTGAACTATTATTACTCGATGTTATTAATATGAGACCAAGAAAAAATAGTATCTTGTTTCTGTAAACAATACAAGCCATCTTTCAGATCAAGCATGCCCAATCATCTTCAATGTAAGAACATCTTGAATCTGACAATGGTTAGAAGAAAAAATCAATTTACAATTGGAATCAATAATCAGTTTTTGAGCAGAAATTATATTAAATTCAAAATTTGGAATATGAAGAACATTATAGAGTGTAAGGCTATTTGAAATACAAACCGTGCCAGCATATTCAGCAGTGACATGATTACCATTAGGTAATTTCACATGCACAGGTCTGATTTTAGTAAAAGTTAAAAAATGATTTTTATTGTAAGCTACATGATCAGTAGCCTCGAGTGTCTATAATCCAAGATGAACAGAGAATACCTTTGGAGTCTTGTTGATCACCATTATTATTTTTAAACTGATTGACCCTATGAGTAGTGTCTTGATTCTTTTCTTGCGAAGTTTTAATAGTTATTGAACTTGTTCACCTGTCAGCTGACTATTCTTAACAGTGTGCACTTGATTTTTTTATTCTTCTTCTTTCAAAACGTTGTCAGTCATAACAGTGTTGACAACATAATCATTTCTGTTATTTTTAAACCATGGAGGGAATCCGTGTTTGGCATAACATTCATCAACAATATGGTGCAATTTATTGCAAAAAGTACACTGTTTACCATAGTTGGAATTCCTCCCACGTCCACGTTCTTGGTTCTTCCAAGATCCACGTCCTTGAGTCTTCCAATTTCCTTGATTGTTAAAATTCACAATAGGTCCTTGATTAGCAGCTGTCAAAAGAGTTTTGGCATCAACGTGACTCACTCCTGCCAATTGTCGTTCTTGTTGCAGAATTAACGAAAAAACACGATTGATTCCTGGGAGAGGCTCCATTAAAAGAATTTGAGATTTTGCAGTGGTGAAGGCGTCATTTAATCCCTTCAGAAAACATATTACATGTTCGGATTCACGATAACGAGCAATGATTTTGAAGGCTTCACAAGAACATTGCAGATTGCAGGTACAACTAGGAATGGGACGCAAGGATTCCAACTCTTCCCAAAGAATTTTGAAATCTGTATGGAATTCAAAAACACTTCTTTCTCCTTGCTTAATGGAGTGCAATTCTTGTAGCAGATCAGAAGTCCTAAAATGGTCTCCTTTTGAGAATCGTTCCTTGAGATCTTCTCAAAGATCTCTTGTATTATCAATATATACAGTACTTTGAGCAATTTGATCACTTAAAGTTCGAGTTATCCAAGAGATTACCATGACATTGCATCTCTCCCATGAGTCATGAAGAGGATCGTCTTCTTGGGGAATCTTGATGGCTCCAGTGATGAATTTTAATTTGTTTTTTGAAAGAAGAGCTCTGCGCATACTCCTACTCCAAGAATGGTAATTCATACCATTCAATTGCTTTGAAACAAGAATCATTCCAGGATTCTCACCTGGGTGCAAATAATACAGGCTTGAAGGATTCAAAGATTCGTCAATCACAGTTTGCGTTTATGCATTGCTATTAGCAGTTGAAGAATTGACAGAAGCCATCAAGAAACAGAGAAAGATAGAAAAGAGAAACAGAAAGGATGCAGCGGAGGCAGAGCGGGTGTTAACCCGCTCTAATACCATAACGTAAAAACATGGATCCCATTGAGAATTTGGGAGAAAATAGCAGAGAAGACAGCAGAGAAGAAAAACTGATCTAATTCATATATAGATCGAATACAAAAGGAAAAATCTAATATATTGGAGGAAGAAAAGAAGGTTAAAAATAAAAAGGAAAAAAGTCAAATTTGCAATTAGTCAAACCTACATAAAACAATACTAACAAATGGAAAAGGTACACGTGTAACTAATACAAGTCTTTCAGCAATCTGGTGGCTTCCCTCAATATAGAAGCTTTTCCATTGCTCTGTTCACTAATGTCTGTTACCTCTTCCCCAATGAAAACAATCCCAAGCCACAAAAGAAAAAGAAACAAAGCAGCCCTAATATTAGGTCATGCAAAATTTCAAAGGTGACTGATTCACCTAGAACATATTAGATCTTGAGACTCTGACATAAGATTAAAGTACTCAAATTTTAGATAACTGTGGCATAAGATTAAGTTACCAAGTGCATCCGCAAGATCAAGAAAGAGTTCATTCATGTGTTCACGCTTTTCTTTCTCTCTTTCAGCCTTTCGAACTCTCGTGGGGACTTTCCATTGTTTCCTTTTACTGGGACAAGACCTACACAATATCATGCATACCAAAACTGAATCCATATCTTGAAGCTATTGTTCCCATAAACTACTTGGTTGTTCTTACCAAAAAAAAAAGCAGGAAACTTATTTTTTTAAACCAATGTTTAGATTGATGAGAAGAGATAAAATGAAATGAAGCATAACCAATGAAACAGATGAAGTTAATTTCACTAATATCCATCAAAATAATCAAACATGATGTAATTATATATTCTATTTCCCTCTTTCTTATCCTCTTCTATTAATAAAAACAGAACAAAATTACAACTTTGAAGTTCTCAGATTTGTGCTAACAATCAGTACAGCTGGATCAAGTAATTAAGGAAAACCAAGAAACTCATTGCTTCATACATCATGCAGAAAATTTTTTGGCCCTAACAAAATATAAAGGAAGTAAGACAACTTAATTTATCCATTAAAAATGTTATCAAAGTGAAATGAATACCAAATGATAAGCTGTCTACAAGCTAAATTAAACTAACTTTTTTTAAATAACTTTCATTTTTTAAATTCCAAACTTCGAAAGACAAACTAAGTCTTTTGTGATGTTTGATGAGAAGTTTAAGAACACTGAATCGATTATTCTATGAAATTTTCAAGAGCCATTGGTGCATCTTATTTTTCACAGTGCGAGAATAGAACATCTAACCTCTTTCTTGATATATCCTGTGACATGTTGACCTTCTCAGCTACAGGGGCAGAGTCTCTCACCCCATATATATCTGAAGGAAGCTTTTCGGTTACCTGCAATTGTTTCTGGAGGGTGAATTTCACTAAAACAAGTTGACTACAAAAGAAACACTTTGGGTCTGTGGAATCAGTTACATATTGCAAGATTGGGAGTGTGACATGAGGTCACTGTTCACACCAAGGCTCGTGGCTATCTCATGCTGACTTGTTTCCATCACCATTCTAACTTATACATAACATTTTTTATAATTATTATTATTTTAAATGACGCGAGTTTCTTAAAAAAAATTTTTAGTAAAAATATGCTATTTGTAATAATTTAATTGAATATTAAAACAATAAACTTTTTTTAAAACATCAAAGTGAGACTCTTGAAGTTATATATATAAACTATAAACTAAAAATAATTATACATATTTGTCTTACCTATTGGTCATGGGCTTCCACCTGGATACAACCACAATACGACAAATATTTCAATATTTATTAATAAAGATGATTATATATAATGTAAACTTACATTAATTTTATTAATAAAAATTTGTTTAAAAATTTATTATTGTATTTTTCACTTTTACTTGATATATATATATATTTTTTTAATGTTCTAATGTTAGAAATAATATTTAAAATTAAAATTCTGCAAAAGTTTCAAGATTATACATAAAACTGTTTTTTTTATAAAGAAAAAAGTTGTGTCCTTAAATAAAGTCTTTGTTTTATATTTCTAGAAATATAGACTTTTTTTAATAATGTGTATTAAAGTTTTTATACAGAATATTTGACTTTTTTTTCATTAATTTTTTAAAAGTAAGAATTAAAAAATATTATGATTTTTGTTGAAAAATCATTAAAAATAAATATAAATTCTTAATTTCATAAAAATTATATTATACCATAAGAAAAGAAGTTAATAATATTTTTTATAACAGAATTAAAAAATTTCCTGAATGTTTATTTAGAATCTATTTCTTTTCTAAATAGGAATTTCAACTATTTATATATTTCCAAATATATTTAAATTATTTATAGTATATTTTAATTTTAAATGAAAAGTATTTTAAATTATCACTAGAATAAAAATCATCCTAAATGAAACTATTAAAAAATGTATTACAAAATTTAATAATTAATTATTTGTGAAAGATGCAATTACCCATTTCACAGTAAAAGTGTAGTTTTGTTCATTTATGTTCAATTGTATGGCATTTTCTCATAAAACAATTTAATAATAATTTTTATCCTTTATGATTAAAAAAATAAATTTAACTAAATTGTGTATATGAATGAAGTATTTTATTATTAAAATGAATTCAATCTTTTGGTGTACCATAGTATCACTATATTTATTTATTTTAATTGGATAGTGTTTTAGACTTAATCTAAATTATATTAAGTTAAATAATAATTTTACTCGATTTTAAAAAATAAGATTTCTAAAATGATAATAATGAAAAACTTATTAGCTTCTTTTTCTATTTAAAGTGGAAAGAACTATAATTAATATGATTAAATAATGATTATTTTCCAATATGTGACATTATTAAGATTAGAATAAAGATCTTGACCATAATAAATAAGTAGAAGTTAGCTTTTCAAGAAGCTAATGATGAAATATAAGACGATTTTATTCATCATTTAACAAAGTTTTGATGAAGATATATTAAAGTAGGTGTTGCGAAGCCTGAGATATTTTGGCAAAATCTTACAAAGGTGCTAATAAGCTAAAGAAGGTGGAGTATTTTAAAGAAAAAATAGGAGTTATTGCAAATGAATGACTAAGAGAGTGTGGTTGAATATTTCACTAGAATTATTGAGACTCATAAATCAAATAAAGAATTATGGTGAAAAGATAGAAGATGTAACAATTTTTTTATAAGATCTTGAGGACATTAACTCTAATATTTGATCAAATAATTGTTACTATTAAATAAGGAAGAAGTGTTTATGATATAAAGGTTGATTCATTACAAATGATTTTTAGAACACAAAAAATCAGACTCAATGAAAGAATTTCACTTAGAAGTTCAAATTAGGCTTTACAGGTTCAAACATCAAAAGGAACCTCAAGTAAAATCAAAGAAAAAAAAGGGTAAAAGCAAGGGAAGAATCTATATGAAGATTCAAATAAGAATGATGCACCTAACAAAGAAGAAAGAAAGAAGTTAGTTAAAAAGACACTCTAATACTAGTTAAAAAGACACTCTAATGTTATAATTATCAAAATTTTGACCATGCTAGAGAATGTAAATGAAATAAGATGCTTAGAAAGAATGATGAGGCTTAATTGGGCAGGTGATGACAATTTTCATGCTAAAATTATGTTATTCATGTCAACAATCACTTCTGATGAAGAAAGTGTAAATTTGTGGTATTTGGACACCGGATATTCAAATCATATGACATACCACATAAAATGGTTTGTTTTTATAGATGATAAGGTGAAGACCAAAGTCAAGTTTGCTAATAATAGTTTTGTGAATGCTAAAGATAAAGACAAAGTTGTGGTTCAAAGAAAGGTTGATCATCAAACTCTTATTAGTGATGTTCACTATGTTCCTAATATAAAAGAATAATCTACTCAACATAGAAAAATTACTTGAAAAGATATTTTTTATGCACTTGAAAGATAATTACATAAAGAGGAAATAGTCCATGAAGTTATTACACCCTGTATACCATAACATAATAGTATTGCAAAAAGGAAAAACAAGTATTATGAATATTGTCAAAAATATGATGAAGGAAAAAATATGCTAAATTATTTATGAGGAGAGGTAGTGTCTACTGTTATGTACATTTGAAACAAAAATCTTACAAAAAATGTTAATTCCATGTACTCTTGTGAAAACATGGTCAGGACAAAAGCTAAGTGTGAGTTACTTTCGATGTTTTGGCTTACTATATTTAAATATGTGCCAATTTAGAAAAAAGAGTGATGATAGAGTGGAATTAATGATTCTCATTGGTTATAATCAAACAAGTGCTTATAAGTTGTATAATTCTATAAGTAAAAAGGTTCACATCAATAGAGATGTTTTTATTGATGATTAACAAAGATAAGATTGGTCTGATATAATATCTAATACAAATTTTGTTATACACTTTGAGGATCTAGGGGATATTCAATACACTACCGAATCACTTCATCACCAGTCAAGAAAATCTCAAAGGATGAGACAAATAGTTCATTCCTTTAAAGATTGTGAAGTTTATTTTGATACAACAATTATTGTAGAGGAAATTTTGCTTTGCTTGTTGAGTTAGAACTAGTGAAAAATCCTCTAAAAGATATTATAGAAATATCATGGGGTAAGAGTTAAAGTTAATTTAAAGAAATGTGATTTGAGAATTCTTTGATTTACCCATTGAAAAGAAGTCAATTGACATGAAATGAATTTTTAAAATCAAAATAAAGTCAAATGGAGAAGTGTCTAGATATAAGGCCATACTTATTACAAGAGGATTTATACATAAGTATGGTTAAGATTACAATGAAATTTTTGCTCTCTAATAATAAGGTTTGACACTATGAGATTGATTATGGTTGTGACAAGTCATAAATGTTGGTTAATTTATCAACTTAATATGAAGTCAATATTTCTAAATGGCTACCTACAAAAAGATGTTTACACAAGTTCTAAGAGTTTTGAATTTGAGAATTGATAGTTTTTTAAAATTCAGTAAATGCACCACTGAGCATGACATCTATATCAAGAATCATAAGGTGATAATTTATTTGTTTGTAAATAATCTTTTGATAATTGGAAACAACCTAAATCATATAATTTAGTTTAAGAAAAATATCATGCAGGAATTTGAAGGGACAAACATATGAGAGTTGTCATATTTTCTAGATATTGAATTTGTCAAGATAAGCAAATGAGTGATTACCATTCACCTATGTACTAGTAGACTAGATATTGCATACAATGTTGGATTGATAAATATATTTATCCAGGAGTTAAGAACTACTAATTTACATGTAGTGAAGAGAATGCTACAATACTTGAAAAATACTAAGAATGCAAGAGAGGTTTATGGGTATAATGGCTCAGATCGGTATGGAGATAAAGAAAATAGAAAAAATAGCTCATGTTGTATCTTCAAATTTGATTAAGCACCAATATTTAGTGTTCAAAGAAGCAAGATGTTAAATATATGAAATAACTTATCTTGAAGCTACAATGTATTATATTTAAAATTAACTTGAATTATTAGATTAGTAGTTGATAACAAATCGATTATTGACTTAATAAATCTTTTAGAAACATATGAAAATAATATTCATGTAGAAACAAAAAAAGCTTGAACTTAGTTTTATAGATTTGAGATATATTACTAAATCTTTAAAAAGTATAAAGTTTAAGGAGATGTAATTCGAACTTTTAAATAAGGGTGTGTAATTAGTTAAAATTATATTCATCAGTTAAAAAAAATTATCTATAACATGTTTAAATATAAAAATATATGTATTTTATAAATAATCAAATATATTCTGTTTTATTTAATTTTTCTTCTCTTTTTCAATGTACCTGTTACCGATAAATACCAAAAATTGAGGAGAACCGGTCTATAATTTTCTTAAAAAATTGCACATTTTTGTCCACTTTTTATAACACTCTACTTTCTATTTTCTATAACCTTTTCTTCTAACTATAATTCCTTATATGATTGATATTTTATTTTATAAAGATATATACTTGTGTTTATGCATTTTATCTTATCAAAATTAATATTCAGCCATTATGTACTTATCATTTTTAACCTTACCTATTAAAATAATTATTTTAAATGTCAAATTCAAATTAAAAAATCATATTTTTTTATGTTTAATTGAAAATAGTTTTTTTTAAATAAAAAAATATTTTCATCTAATATAGTCTCATTTCTAAAAATTTACTTATTACAGATATTTTTTAACAATGAAACATTCACACCAATAACTAAAATTCTCTATGTAAATTAATTTGCTATTATTAGTATATTCTATTTTTTCTTTCAAAATATAATTTTATTTCAATGTTAAGAAAATAAAAATAATATATATATATATATATATATATATATATATATATATATATATATATATATAAACTAGGAGCATTCTTCTAAACAATAAATTATTGCTCAAATATTCATAAATATATTCATTTCCATAACAAATTTCATTTGAAATAATCATAAGTAATACAGTAATTGACATATTCAGTTATATAAAAAAAATTAGTTCTAGAATTATGTTAACATTTCCAATAATTATTATTACTGTATAAATATATTTCATAACTAAATTTAATAAAATCCTATTTATAATTAATAACTTCTCAACAAAAATTAAATGACTTGATTTTAATATCAAATTTTTATGGCAGATTTATTTTTAAAAATTGAAAATGAAATGTTAAACAAAATTATTTATGATATATGAGGAATAATTTTATATTATGAAAAGTTAAGAAAGTAAATTTTAAATCAAAACATTAATTTGATCAATTAGGTTAGAAATATCTCCGCATAATCAATTAGTATTTCAGCTATATTTTTAGTAGTTTAAAGTTAAAATCATAAATCAAAAGGAGTTTTGTTGCCTTTGTAATAAATTTTGATAATAGCTTTATCTACTCAAAATAAAATAATCCTTTTAGAAACATTTTTAAAATTTTTACCAAAATAGTGAGACATTCACTATCCATAAAACAATCTTGTAGGACACCGTTTAGTAGTAACTTGTCTCTCGAAAGATTTTCAACCCTCTTATGAACGAATAGTCAGTTTACAAGAAAAATTGAAATCCATTAAACCTATAAAATATTAGGGTGCATTTTCCTACAACACATGATTTTCTTAGTCACTTTCTCCGAACAAATATTTTGAAAAACTCATTTCATTATTGAAGAAAATCATGAGGCATAGACGTTTGGATCCAAAATATCATTCTAAGAATATGTGATCATATACTTTAGTATATACACCAAAGATATCATTAAGCCTCGCTTTCATTCCAGTAAATAAAAAAAAAAAGCTCATGCCATCTTCCGTAGACTAATAGTTCTTTTATACATTAATGTATATTGTTGTCGTCACCAAATTTAATATCTTCAATCTCTTGAGCACTCAAGTCTGAATTTTCGAGGGTTCATTCTTCCATTTAGCGCAAGGGCAAGCACATCATATTCCTCAACGTACCATAGTTCAGAAACCACTGCCTGGATATACAGAAAAGTTAAATTATATGTAAATAAAAGTTTATATATATATATATATATAAAGAAAATATTCTTGTAACCAGAAATTAAAACTATAAACACAAACTAATAGATTATATTTAAATAATAATGATTAAATAAAAAAAATGCAAGTGCCTTCTATCATGATTTGAGCTTAGTTGCATGCATTCTATTGTTATTTGAGCTCAGTTTCATGCATAATCTCTGTTTTCCTTCTGCGCTGTTAGTACCGTATTTGCTGTGATTTGGTTTTATGAAGTAATTTAACAAATAATTTCGATTTGATGACTAAGTTTGATGAGTTGAATGTTTTGAGGAAGATCTAGAAGACTTTTGAAGGCATGAAATCCTTCACGAAAGAGTAAGGGAGCTTTCTTAGCATGAAGATTAGTAAGTTCTTGAAGAAAAACAAAGAGGTTACGCCCGAACCTAAGACTCAATTATTATGGAATGCATGCAGCTAGTAATGAAAAACAACCACATATTTAAGAATTTACTTGTCCTCAAGCAACAAACTATCAACATTAGAGATATCAATGAATCGTGAGCCAAATTTAAGCACAAGAGTAGATCATGAGCAAGCATAAGGATGTTCTCAATCAAGTCCAATTAGAGCTTAATGCTCACATTTATTGAACGTATTACTCACCTTTCCAAGCTACAAGTGTCTAGGGATGTCACATTTTTTTAATTGAAGCAATCTACCATATATAGGTTTGAAAAGGAACCTTTTTCTCAATTGTAGCAACCAATATAGGTTTTATATGTATCAGTACAGGGCCACCTTATTGAGCAACCTTTTAATTTGAAATGATATTTTTTTCACCCTTCTTGACTTTTAGATTTTCATATTTAAATAAATTTTGTAAGCTTATTAACTAGCCCAAAATTTAGATGAAAATGTGTTAGGGTACAAGGTGAAGGAGAAGTTAGTTATGATAGAAAACATATATCCGAGTGAGTTAGTTGCTTAAGGTGTTATTTAGATCTAAATAAATAGGGTAAAAATGATAGAAGGGTTGTTCATTTTGTAAATTGAGCATTAACCCTATGTGAAAGGAGAAAATCCTTATATTTCTTGTTCTTTTTATTATAATTGATAAAAATCTTTCTTTTCTCTCTCTTTTCAATTCTTGGTTCCTAACAAATTGGTCCGACCTCCTAGATCTTTGAGAGAGAGAGAGAGAGCCAACGATAGACATGGAGGAAAAACTAAGATGCCAACCTTTGTGGGGACTGATATGATTTCCATGTTCACATCATGGACAAATCCAATTGGTTGGATTGCTAGGGCTGAAAAATTCTAAGGTGCAAGAAATTGATTCATTCCATAAGTTGCAATATGCATTCATGAGCCGGGAGTGTGACAGCCTTGGTTCTATTATTGGTTTTGGATTGAAAGTGTCATCAATTCTTTATATGGGTTAGACTCATATTTCATTAATGTTGTTTCTCCCCAGTGAATCCCCCTCGAAAGACCCAACACTACCCACATTTGATGAAAGCATAGAAAGGGAAATAGATACAAAGAGTGACAGTTTTTAGTATGATGGTGATTTATTGCAGTTCATGAAATCAGAAAATAGAAGTAAAAAAGAAGGCTCAATAATAAAAAAATAAAAAATGCAGGAAAATTAGCAAGAGAAGCAAAGACTATGTTGGAGGAAGATGTCGATCTATCAATAAAGAGTGTGAAGATCAAGGGCTGTCAAGATCAGTTTCTTGACAACCTAATTGTAAAATTAATTGAAACAGAAGTTGAAGGTGGAGTTGCAACCAATTATCATTATTATTGGACCCAAATTTGATAATGAAGGTAGCTGGAACATCAATGACGGTAGAATTTTGGAATTTTAATTTGTTGGGTGAGCCTTTAACATTAAACTCCATTGCCTCTACGGATCACTGCATGACAACGGAGTCAATGCAAAAGAAAGGTTTAAATGCTGTTATACAAAATCCACCCTCATCCCCGTCACCACCCTAAGTCACAAGACCTAAATTTAAATGCATTCACTATTCCAACCCTGAGGACAAGGTTGATTTTAGGAGAGGTGTATTGTAAGGGTATAAGCTAAAGGAGAAGTTAGTTAGCATATTAATGAGTTAGTTGCTTGATGTGTTATTTAAATCTAAATAGGATAAGAAGGATAGGAGAAGGGGTGTTGAATTTGTAAATTGAGCATTACTCTTTGTGAAAGGGAAATCCTTAAAGAAGAGAGTGCTCTCGTTATTTTCATTATAGTTAATAAGAATCTTTCTTTTCTTTCTCTTTTCAACTCTTCGTTCTTGACAAATTCTGCCACAAATCAAAAGGTACGAAGAATAAAACAATCATAAAACAAGGTACCAAAGAAAATGATTAAATTATGACTCAAGATGGGCAATTAATGGACACATTATTGGTAAACGTTTATTCAACATCAGCACCCAAAGCCTAGGGTCTCCATAGTGTCCTAATCCTAATATGATGGGAAGATTTTTCTAGTTATAAGGGACTTGTCCCTTTGTTGTAGACTTTTGAATCCAAATTTTATCGAAGGGGAATGAGATGGTCGAGCTTTGCTCCTTCCTTCGTGGGTGTTTCTTTTGATGGATTTCCTTGTTCTCTATGAGATGGGGTTTCCCACACCACTGTGGCCAAGGGTTTCCTTCCATGTGAGCATTTTTTTGGAAACATAAGCTCTAATTGGACTTGATTGAGATCATCTTTGTGCATGATTATGATCTACTCTTGTGCTCAAATTTCTTGGGCTCACGTTGATGATGCTATATTTGTTGCTTAAGGACAAACAAATTCTTAAGTTTGGGATTGTTTGATGTGTTGCAATTCATACTATCATTTGCTTAATTTTCATTATTAGTTGCATGCATTCCGTAGGCTTAGTTTAATTTCATGCATAACCTCAAGTTTTCTCCTTCTAGGATGTTGTTACACTTTTTGCTGTATTTTGGTTATTGGAAGCACTTGCACAGACAATTTCAGCTTGAAGACTAGTTGGAGGGGAGATCTTGAAGACTTTGAGAGGCATGGAATCCTTCATGAAAAAGTAAAGAAAGCTATCTTAGCATGAAATCCATGAAATTCTTTAAGGGAAAATTGAAGAGGTTGCCACTTGGGTGTGGCAAGTCCCTGCACTATTCCACTTTCAGTGTGGGCTTGTCCACAATGTCGCGGACGAGTTCCTGATGCATTCTCTCTTTCAATACCCATGATTTCTTTTAGGTTTTAAATAGACTTTTTCTAGGAGTAAATCAATACTCTGTCCTAAACTCTATTGTGACGACGTAGGATTAAAGATAATCTTCCTCTCAATTCTTTTGGTTTGCTTTTTCCATCTTTTATTTCTTTTAGGGTTCTATCATTACTATGTGAGTAGAGCACTATTTTCTATGATTGGAGCTTAACCCTTGGGAACCCATTTGTTCTAATTTGCCTCTAGTTGTGTTCCTCTCTTAAGAGAAGATAAGGTTATCTTAGGTTAATTCTCCTTCAAAGGGAACCAAATAGAACAATAGGTTAGACAACTAGGAAAATTGGAATCCTTTGTGAAATCCCCAAATCTTGGAAGTTTCTCTTCCATTGATTTTATCACTTTTTATATTTATTTAATCTTGATTCTATTTTACAAAATCATTTCTATCTCAATCTTGAAATCCAAAATTTGTTATTTCTCATGGCTTAATTTTAATTAAACTATAATACTCGCAAAATCAAATATACAATCCTTGTGGAAGAACCATAAATTGTTGCTCGGTGACTACAATTGTAGATGGTATCAATTTAATGATCTTATCCTTTCATACAAAGACTCCTCTCACTTGGTATTATATGACCCCTTTTAATACACTATATCTAATGAGAAAATGACATGAGAGAAGTAACCAGGTCCTTGGTAGAGTGTATCAGGTGAATAAGTAGTGTATATATGTAGGAACTGTTTAATGTATTAGGTGAAAGATGAAAGCATGAGAGAAGCACGGTACTAAATTAGATGAAAAATCGGCCAAAGAAGTTGTATGAATAAACTTCTGAAGTATTTCAAGAAGAAGAAAATAAGAATAAGAAAATTTCTCCATAAACTGAAATTGACTTACACATAAGTTAAAAATAATTTTGGAAAAGCTAATATGAGAAAACTCGTACAATCGATATATCCATAAATTACTTTCAACTTGTGCAGAAAACAATTAAGAAATTTCAATACCAACAACTAACAAACCTCAGATTTCAAATATTTTAATGCAATTCCAGTTATTACTACACCATTAAATAACAAATAATCACAAACCTCGAATCCACGAATCTGACTGTTAAGCCGATTAACTAGCCCATGGAAAAACTGGACATCATCTGACATTTCAAGCTGTTCCTGCGAATTACAAGAAGTCATTCTTTGTTATGCTTTCTGTCCTAATGTTCATTTCATACTAGTTTTTCATCAATATCACTTGACGCTTTACCATAAACATATTGCCAAACAAAAAGAGAAGTAGACATGTTTAAGTCATGACAGAATAAATTTCAAAACTTTATCAACTGCACCTATGTTTGCATGTGGAGTGAAACAACTTGATGTCAACCTTAACAATAATTAGTTTTGAATTAGTTTTGGGTTCATGCTTTTTTGACTGGATGCTATTATTGCTTTTCTGTTATTTGTTTTTCTCTCTCATCTCGTCTTGTATATAAATACACGTTGATCATTTAATATAGAATATACAAGGCAGCATGTTTTATGCTTGCATTCCGTATCACCCTGCCATATTCTGTCTGTTATTTGATATGGTATCCAGAGCCTAACGATCTTCTTCTTCCCCATCACTCTTATCTGCTTCTGTTGCCATGGGTGATGAAACCGATCCTTCTCTTAATGTCCACAATTTTTTATATCTTCATCCCAATGAAAATCCTGCAATGTCCTTGGTATCCCCTTCACTTGATTCAACAAATTACCATTCTTGGAACAAATCTATGACCACTGCTCTCAATGCCAAAAATAAAGTGGAGTTCATTGATGAAAGTGCCCCACGTCCATTAGCATCTGATCATCTTTATGGAGCTTGGAAGCGTTGCAATAACATGGTGGTCTCGTGGCTCGTGCATTCTGTTTCTTCGTCAATCAGGCAGAGCATTCTTTGGATGGACTGTGCAGAGGAGATTTGGCGAGATCTCAAGTCTCGGTATTCGCAGGGTGATCTTCTTCGAATTTTTGCTCTACAGCTTGAAGCCTCTTCAATAAAATAAGGTGATTTATCCGTCACCGATTACTTTACTCAACTTCGTGTTATTTGGGATGAACTAAAAAACTTTAGGCCAGATCCTGTTTGCGTTTGTGGTGTGAAATGTACTTGCAAAGTGTCTTCAATTCTTGCTCAAAGAAAATTGGAAGATCAAGCTATGCAGTTTCTTCGTGGATTAAACGATCAGTATGCTAATGTTCGATCTCATGTTTTATTGATGGATCCATTACCTCCAATTAACAAAATCTTTTCATATGTAGCATAACAGGAACGAAAATATTCTATTCTTGACATTTTTAATGCAGAGACAAAATAGAATTCTATAAATGCTATTAATGTTACTGCCAACACTACTCTTGTTAGTACTTTTTGTGGACGTCCTGGTCACACTGAAAGTAATTGTTATGGCAAACACGGATTCCCCAATAATTCTGATACTAAGAACAGTAAAGGTACCTCCACTCGTGGAAAAATTTGTTCATATTGTGGGAAGACAGGCCATACAATTGAAGTATGCTATAAGAAGCATGACTATCCTCCTGGTCATCGCTTCTTTAATGCCAAATCCTCCTCTGCCAACAGTGTCTCAATTATTGAAGGAAAAGCTGTTGAAAAGGAAACATATACTAGTTCTGAGAATTCAGAAATTCGGTTTACTCCTCAACAATACCAAGCTTTATTGGCCTTGATTCAGCAACCATCTAAAACTGCTTAAGCATCAAATTCAGCACACATTAATCAAATTGGTTTGGTTTCCTCTTCTATACACACATCACACTCTTCAGGTAGCATTCGATCAATAATTTGCACAACACACACATTCAACAAAGCTCCATGGATCCTTGACTCTGGAGCCACAGGCCATGTTTCCTATTCACTACAATTTTTTACTTCATATCATGCAATTGCTCCTATTACTGTTAAACCTTCCTAATGGACATCAAGTCACAGCCACTCATGCTGGCACAGTTCACTTCACTTCCACGTTTTATCTTATTGATGTTCTATATGTTTCCTCATTCACATTCAATCTTATTTCTCTGTCTAAATTAGTCTTGAATACACCCTATCAAATTATATTCACAACTGACTCTTGTCTCATACAAGATGCCAAAACCAAGATGAAGATTGGTTCAGTTGATGTGAAAAGTGGTCTATACCAACTGGTTCCGCAGAATTTTGATTCTCATCACATACATTCTTCTGTAATACATCCTGATTGTAATGTTTTACCTATTGACCTTTGGCATTTTCGCCTTGGCCATTTATCAAATGCTCGTTTACACAGTATGCAAAAGATATATCCATGTTTGACCATAAACGAAAATTTCATTTGTAATTCTTGTCATTATGCAAAGCAACGAAAGCTTCACTTTCCACTAAGTCACTCACATGCTCAAAGACCTTTTTCTCTTTTGCATATGGATATATGGGGACCTTACTCCACCCCATCAATGCATGGTCACAAATTTTTTCTCACAATTGTTGATAATAATACACGTTTCACATGGATTTTTCTAATGAATAGTAAAGCAGAAACTCGAAAACTCATTGTTAATTTCATTGCTCTGGAAAAATAAATTAACTGAAATATGATTTTTATTATATCAATACAAAGAGATGATATAAAATATATACAGGAGACCTAAGCTATTTTAGGAAATATAATAACTCTATTTTATGCTAGGATCCCTTGATTTATGGGATTGTTCCTAATTATTCAAATCTGTACAGATTACAAGGAAATATACAAATTTCCTGATTTATTCTTTCCTAAAATACTATTTGATTTCCCACAATTGCTTTTGCTGAAAATCAGTTGAATTCTCATATTCAAATCATTCGCACAGATAATGGTGCTGAGTTCTCTATGCATGATTTTTTCAAATCTAAAGGAATAATACAACAAACATCATGCATAGAAACTCCACAGAAAAATGGAATTGTCGAGCGCAAGCATCAACATTTACTTAATGTTACTCGTGCTCTACTCTTTCATTCAAACTTACCTTCATGTTTTTGGAGTTATGCACTCTTGCATGCTACTTATTTGATAAACATTATTCCAACACCGTTTCTAAATAATGACACTCCTTTTCAAAAACTTTATGGTCATACATGTGATATCTCTATACTGAAAGTGTTTGGGTGTCTGTGTTATATTTCCACAACTCCTACACATCGTAAGAAATTATACCCACGAGCTCATCCTTGTGTTTTCCTGGGAATCCTACCTACTACAAAAGGATACATTGCCTATGACCTTCATAATCGTAGCATTGTCATCTCCTGCAATGCATACTTTTATGAGGATCACTTTCCATTCATTCACATTCCATCTACTAGTTCTAATATTCCTACTGTTTCACCAACTCCCTTTGTCCATAATTCACTATCTCATGATTTCATTCCTTCTCCATCTACCACACCAGATCCTACTACTTCTCCCAATCCTATTCAGTCAACTTCCCCTACACACTCACTAAGGCAATCCAGATCAGTACTAGTGGCGGATCTTGACCATTGATCTTGGGGGCCAAATAATATATTATTAATAAATAATAAATAAATATAAAAGGAAGAAAGAAGATGAAAGGGTGAAAAGATAAAATTATAGATATATACTTAAATATATTAAATGATCATTAAGTTTGAGGAGAACAAGATCATAAATTATATGAGAGTTACAAAACTAAGGAGGGATCGAGAGGATAAAATTGTAAATATACAAATAAATATATTAAATGTTCATTATGTTTGGGGGCCAAAATCATAAATTACATGGGAGTTACAAAACTTTGGGGCCGCAGCCCCCTCAGCCTCCAAGAAGATCCGCCACTGCTCATCATCCTCCTTCTTATCTGCAAGATTACCATCACTCTTTCACATCAACTTCTACCAATCTTCATCAAGGTATGCGATACCCCACTAAAGATTATCTTTCTTATTCTTATCTTTCTAACAATTTTCAATCATTTATTTCTTCTATTTCCACAATCACCGAACCACGTTCCTATGTTGAAGCTGTAAAATATGATTGCTGGAAGGAGGCCATGCAAGCTGAATTGGAGGCTTAAAAATTGAATCATACTTGGATTCTCACGTCTCTACCACCAAATAAGAATGTCATAGGTTGGCGATGGATTTATAAAATCAAGTATAATGCTTATGGAAGCATTGAACGCTACAAAGCTCGTCTTGTAGCTAAGAGATACACTCAAATGGAAGGCTTGGATTATATTGCAACTTTCTCCCCTGTTGCAAAACTCACTACAGTTCGATTACTTTTGGCTTTAACTGCAATTTTCAATTGGCACCTCAAACCGCTGGATGTGAATAACGCTTTTCTTCATGGTGAATTAGATGAAGAGGTGTACATGACTCTACCTCCGGGAATTACTCGTGCTTTTCCCAACCAAGTGTGCAAACTTCAAAGATCAATTTATGGCTTGAAACAAGCCAACCGACAGTAGTTTGCGAAACTCTCTTCCTTTCTTATTTAACATGGATATCAACAATCTACATCTGACCATTCTCTGTTTTTAAAGATTTTTTAGTCATTTACTACAACTCTTCTTGTGTATGTAGACGATATTGTTCTTGCCGGCAACAACATTGTAGAAATTGAAACTATTACAAGCCTCCTTGATCATACCTTTAAGATAAAGAATCTTGGCAATCTCAAATATTTTTTGGGCCTTGAAGTTGTCTGAAACAGCTCTGGAATTCATCTCTCTCAACGCAAGTACACTCTGGACATTTTGACAGATTGTGGTATGATAGCATCTCGCTCTGTTGCCACGCCAATGGATTATACTGCTCGACTTTCCACCTCATCTGGCACACCACTTCCTGATTCTTCCTCCTATCGTCGGCTTCTTGGACGCATAATCTATCTAACTACCACTCGCCCTGACATCTCCTATGTAGTGCATCATCTTAGCCAATTTATGTCAGCTCCTACATCTGCACATTCTCAGGAAACCTTTCACATTTTACGATATCTGAAGCAGGCTCCTGGTTTAGGCCTATTTTTCGCCACTAATAGTTCTCTCCAACTGAAGGCGTTTAGTGACTTTGACTGGGCGGGTTGTCTCGACACTCGTCGTTCCATTACAGGTTTTTCAGTATACCTTGGAGATTCACTAGTTTCATGGCGCTCTAAAAAGCAACCTACAATCTCTCGCAGTTCCTCAGAGACTGAATATCGTGCCCTTGCAACCACCACTTGTGAGCTTCAATGATTGACTTATCTGCTGACTGACTTACACATTCCCTTCAAGCAACCTGCTCTTCTCTACTGTGATAATTAATCTGCCCTCCAGATTGCAGCCAATCAAGTGTTCCATGAGTGTACCAAACACATAGATATTGATTGCCATTTAGTTCGTGAGAAAGTTCGCTCTGGATTGGTGAAGTTACTTCCTGTGTCTTCTTCTCAGCAGCTCGCAGACATCTTCACAAAATCCCTGTCTTCTTCTTTGTTTTCCACTCTTTGTACCAAGCTGGGAATGTTCAATCTTTATTCCCAGCTTGAGGGGGCTCTTAACAATAATTAGTTTTGGGTTCATGCTTTTTTGTCTGGATGCTATTATTGCTTTTCTGTTATTTGTTTTTCTCTCTCATCTCCTCTTGTATATAAATACACGTTGATAATTTAATATAGAATATACAAGGCAGCATGTTTTATGCTTGCATTACGTATCACCCTGCCATATTCTGTCTGTTATTTGATAGTCAACTTGTTTGTAGGTAACGGATAATTGTACCGATGTAGATGTTAGGAACCAAATGAGTGATGTCATGTAACAGGTAAACCTAATAAATTTCAATAAAAAGAGTAGATAAATATTACCGTAGGTGATGATGCTCTAGGTGGACCCAAAAGCCTTGCAAACGACGTATGGAGAATCGCAGCATCATACTGCACATGAAAATAACTCATCAGAAAGCATTTCAAAATAACCACATTTAGTGGCGTATATATGATTTTAAGTTACCAAATAACGTTAGAAAAACGTAGCATAGGAGTTCATAGAGAAAACAGTTATATCATAAAAGAATTCTAAAGAGGACATCTCAAACTAATGCAGTCACGCTACAAGACACAAGATTTCAGACTTGTGGAAAGCCATAACACGTGCTTTAATTACTCCAGCATCCAAAATATATATTGATAACAAAATGTTCTAATTTCATCTTGAAACTCCAAAATGTAGTCCCAATTATGTATTCAAACTGCTGCATAGCAAAACCGGGTATTCAAAAGATGCTTACAAGTTGCTTCTCTGGTGCACGTGGAAGTGCATTCTTCAACTTAGACCGAATGATTATGGGATCTGTCCCAGAGATGACCTACAAAATTAGTATAATTAGTCAGCCAGGTTTACAATGTGGTCAGATATTTTAATACTGATACAATTCAACATACAGGGTTAGGGAAATAGTTCCCCTTTTCTTTGCTTACTAGTTTCAATTTTTTTTTTATATATACTGATTGTGCACAGGTTGAAAGTTTCAAAAATAGGCTATGCTTTGCAACTAGGAATTCACCAACACTTCGCTTGATTTTACCAAGTTATTAAAAATGCATGAAAACACTAGAACAACGTTTTATCTAAAAGCATTACTATTAGAAATTTTTTAGGAACTAAGAATTGAAAAAAGAAAGAAAGAAAGATTTTATTGAATAGAATGAAAAGAACAAGAAATAGGAGAGCACTCTCTCCTCCAAGGTTTTAACCCTTCACAAAAGATTTCTCCTTTCACAGAGCTAATGCTCAACCTACAAAATGAACAAACCCTCTCCTATTCTTCTTCCCCTATTTATATCTATGACCTCAAGTAACTAACTAAATCATTAATATTGAAATTATCTTAATTAACTTCTCCTTCTCCTTATACCCAAACAATACACCCCTCCTAAAATCAACCTTGTCCTTAGGTTGGAATAGTGGAAGCTTGATCCCATGTCAATTTTGCAAGGCTGAGTTAGGACTAAATGTACATTCTAAGCAAGGTTTGTTGTACTTATTATGTTGGACATAAGTGGGTGAAAATCTTACCTTTGTGAAGTTGAGTTAAACATAAAATCCACTTTTTAAGAATAACAGATAAAGTCTTGCAGTTACCTTCTCAGTGAAAAGATAAGAACAAAAATGTTTCCAAACGCAGTAAAAAAAATGCCAAAATATTTCCTGAATCAGTAAACCTAACCACTTGAGATCCAAGTTAACAATTTCCTATGTCGAACAACCTTAACCATACCAAAATTTCACTTTACTTGACAGAGCTCAATATATCATACTTACTTTCTTTTTTGGTGTATGATAGAGATAGAGAGAACAGGAAGGGAAGGGGGACTGACATCAAGGAATTGGATGATGCCTACAAAAGAACCTACTCTATAATACAAGTGTCATGGATAATGAAACAAATCCTTTTGATTATGGAAAAAAACCTGCCAGCAACCCAGGAGCACTCCAGTTGAAGTCAAAACAACTCTATCCAAAACAATTTTCAAAGGGCAGAGTTTGGAAGCCACAGCTTTCACAGAGGATGCTTCAGCTTCTATCTGACACAAAAATGATTCCCATAAGCTTAGTCAGCAAACTTCAAGAGGAAACAAAGGCATCCATAACTAAAGTATACCTCGTCTTTGGTGGCAAATACTGGTACAATATGGTGGGAGGCATGGAACATGCTAAAATGGTACAGACTAGAGTTCTGAAACCAGATTGCTAATTGACAAACATGTAAAAAATTCCAATAAAATAAAAACAACATGAAGAGAAGGTTGAAGCAGCACAGGAATGCTTAAAGTATGGATTTGAATTCTGCTATTGGTTGATCCAACATTAGCTTACCTTTATCAAAGTATGGATTAAAAATATTTTTGACAGCCTCCCTGTGTCATGCAAATCGTGCATGTGTTATATGAATATATTTTGCTTGACATGATCGTAATGAAAAATATTAAACCAAAGATAAATAAGGAAATAAAAAAGGATATGAGAAACTGAAGATAAATTATCATCATTTCTACAGTCATAATTTACAAATGTGATATGCAATGCTCCATTACAAGGAAAGCAAAATAAAAAATGGACATACTCAAACTTTAACCCGATGAAGGTTTAATCTGAATCAACTTTAAACCATTAATCTTTAAAATTGAACAATTTACCAATTTAGTTTCAAAGAGATATCACTGCTTGATTCTTCCAAACACTCTGCAAGTGATAACATTTGCCTAATAGCACAGTATTTATTGTCATTCATCAAAATTTGTCTATGAAGCATATTAGTCAAAAAGAACTGTTTGTTCTTCGGTAAAGTTGAAGTAAAATGCGGAGCGGAGGCTCAAGAAATCCTGGTCTTAAATAGTAGAAAACAGACAGTATAGCAAAGACAATGATTGCAGGCATTGTAGATGGCCCAGCTTCTTTAATCAGTATTGACTAAATTATTCATGGTTGTAGATTCTGAAACTTTAAGGGTATTCAACGGCGGGGAAGTATGTGACTTTGAAACATGAAAAGGACTTTGACAAAAATCTTATAGGTGAAAAGTGTAATTTACCCGAAAATAGGGGACCATGATGTCCTATAAATGGAGATTTTCACCTTAAAATGAAAAAGCAATGGTTCACTTATCCTAGTAAATTATTGAGTATTTTAAAGGCCTATTCAATGGTAATAGGATATACACCAGTACATAGAAAACCTTGATGTAAAAATGTAACAGAAAAAGGAACCAGAGTTGTAATTGATATATGGATGAGCTCAGAAAGATATTATATGCTTAAGATAAAATTCAGATTTAAAATTTCAAGAAAAATTTAAATCTCATTTATCCTCATCACGACCGAGAGTGTTATACTATGAACCCTATGGATGGTTTGTCATTGATATGCAAATTTTCAATAAATTCAAGTAAAAGAATTTACCAGAGACAGTTTGATGATGCATACTATATTGGATAAAGAGAAAAACAATTTTTAAGTAACTATCAAAGTTAGGCATGAGCATGACCATATAATTCAAAACCATAGCCAAATTCAGAACAAAACGTATCTTCAACTAAGCATGATGCACGAAAATCCACCAATGAAACTCGGGAGTCAAATTATTAAAGCTTACGCGATAGGTAAAGAGAATTCAGTGCTCAAATACAATACATTAGCCCGCACCGGAGGATTTGCAGGCTGCACATGGAAAATAAGCATCAGTTGCTGCGCAAACAACTCCATGAAACACAGCCTAAATTGTAGTTACATGTCACCTTCAGAACAGGTGTTACAGATCCATCCTTCAGTGTGAATATATCTGAAAGAGACAATGACTGAGAGGTTTCACCATGTTTCAGGAAAGCAGCTCCATGCTCATCCAGATCTTTCCCCATCTTGTCATACAACTTTGATCTTTCCTCCGTGTAAGAATTAGGAGAATCTGAGACAGACCCTTCTTAATTTAGCACCCAAGTCGCATATATCTCCCATAAAAATCAAATTTTGAATAAAACCCACTACCAAGGCAACATCTTTACACGGTGTTATTACGTTATGCCAAAGAAAAGACTTTAAATGTTCAAATTTGTCTCGAAAAGGCCAAACGATGAGCAATTTGACAAAAAAAAAAATTATGACCCAAGTGAAAGAAACTCTTGACAATTGTCACAAAGGTAAAATCTACTATTAAATATAAACATAAAGAATAAATAACAAAGCAATATTACCTAAAGAAGTTGACGACAGAGTTTGTGATGAGTTGTGAAGGGCCATTCTGAACAAGACGAAGAAGCAGAAGGCAGAAATGAGCCAGATCAAAGCTACCCTTTTGGAATGACTCAAGTTCCCAGTTTTACCCGTCATAACTTTGTACGATACACAACATCAAAGTGCAACTCCGCGAGTACAATCCTAGCCAAATCAGAATCAGTGTCATCCTCACCCGCGATTCCTTATTCCTCACTTCTAATAGTTAACTAGCGTGATACATGGGCATAAGTATGTATTTTATGTACCCAATTTCTTAATCAATAATAATAATAATAATAATAATAATAATAATAATAATAATAATAATAATAATAATAATAATAATAATAATAATAATAATAATAATAATAATAATAATAATAATAATAATAATAACAACAATAATTTATAAACAAAAATACACGAAGAAGTTTATATGTATTTCAAGTGTCAATGGATTAAAAAAAATAAATCACAATTACATTATAGGATTGAGTTTGAAAAATTGTATAAATTGGATTAAATTGTGTTTAGAAGTACGATTTTAACATGAGAAAATTATGCTTAGAAGCACAAATTTAGGATAAGCACGTGGAAATTGTGTTTTGTGGTACGGGTTTTTTTTTCCTACTAAAGTCATGTTATTTAAGACAATTTTAGTATTTTTTTTTGAAAAATATAAATATATGATTTTTTTCTTAGATATATTATTTATAAATTAATTAATTTCAATTTAATTATTAGTTTGAAACAAAAAATAAATATAGTAAGAGAATAAGGACATGGATAAATATATATTTCATAGAAATAAAAAATTACCTATATTTTTGCAAAATACAAGTTACAACAAAACAAATGTAATGGTGAGATTTTGTCTTAGAATGGTATGCTAATTTGTCATCTTTGTTTACATGATTGGTCCTAGGTAGGCATTTGGTGTACTTGTACAGTACACCTATGATGATGTGTTGGTTGGGGTTGAACATTTATTTCCTTATTATCATTTGCATACTATGGGGCATACTAGGCATAGTAGACATAAATAGAGTTTGATTGTATGCTAACTGTGGTATCATAGAATAGGTGAAAAATATATTTCGTTTAGTGGGAATGAAGTAAATGTATGAGGAATCTGATCTCCAATTGAATTTGACTAGATAAATTTTGAAGTTGACCAACATATCAAAAAATGGATAAGATTGTTAACTAGTTAGATCAACATGTTGATGACTCGATTGACCAATATATTGTCCACTTGATTAAGAAATATGTTGATCAATCAACTTACCAACATGTTGGTGTTATTCCTACTATTTATCATATTGTTGAAAAAAAATCAATATTAGTTTCATATGAATATTATTATTATTATTATTGTTGTTGTTGTTGTTATTATTATTATTATTATTATTATTATTATTATTATTATTATATATAAAATAAATTATATACTCATCTTTTGAATCTTCTTACTGAATAGAGGAAATATATCTAATAGTGTTGAAAATATCATATTATATTTAGTGTATTTTCACATAAGTGGTCATTCCAGTGAAACTTATTTCCTTGAATTAAGTGATTATGATGATCTTTCTATATAGTAATCCAAGCTTCATGATATTATGACCACAATCTATAAGTTCTACCTCTCATATCTTATATGTGGACCAGGTCTAGATTGATCAAGTCTTCTAGAATTAGTTGACAATGGCCAAATTACCTCATAACCTGATTTGCTAGATGAGGCTCAATAATAACAAAACAAATCATTGGAACTACAACATGACTTACAAGAGAAAACTCAATATTTATTAATTGTCGTAACCCAAATCGATGATAAAGAGTCCAAAAAAATTATATTATTTTATAGGACATGTGAAATTAGAATTATAATGATTTAAAAAATATATATTAAAGTTTTTAAAAAAATGAATTCAATGGTAATAAATGAATTACCTCATTTGGTTTTAATTGATCAAATATCAAACATAATGAGTGTACAACATATGTGATGATGTTGGACATTTGACCTAATCGTGATCATCTATTGCATGCAAAAAATTATTAAAAATTTGAAAATAAAGGAATTTAAAAAAAATTGAAATAAAGTAATGTCAAATAAATTAAAATTTATAATACCTTTTAGCCAATAGGAAGTCATAGCTAGCATCAATCCCCTCGTTTGTTAAGTCTTCTACTTTAGGACAAATGCAAGACAATTGATCCCCAAATATAGTGTGATACAATAATAGAAGATACATTAAATATACTCTAGATACTAAAGTATCAAGCATCAATAAGCTCCCTATTATTGTCAATATGTGTGCCCTTGCATGCTATGCCACAACATTACCATTTGTATTATCGAGAAGGTGTTGAAACGAAGTGTTTAACCAAGAAAGCTTTATGGTATTCCTTGTAACAACACCTTGTGGTAGAAATGAACCTAATCAAGGTTCATGTTAAATTATTGGCAAGCGTATTTAAATTATCAATCGCAGTATAGTATTTCGATTAAATAAAAGTCGATCCCACGAGGAACAGTTTCAATGAAAATTCCCAATTATGCTTACTAAGTATATTAAACAGATTGGGTTTTGCAAATAAGAGTTAAATTGAAATTAAATGACAAAGAACTGTAAATTATTGAGAAAATATCAATTAAAGGCACTTAGGATTGACTTCCTTCCTTATCCCTCTTTTGTAATGGCTATGTCAATTAAGAACGTCAATTAACCTAACAATGTTGATGTCACCTACTCAAATCATCCATGTTGATTCCTCACACATGAAATTCATAAGAAAACCTAATAAATGTTGATTCCTCAAACAATTAAGAGATTTTCCAGCATTAGGTTTAGGGTGTTAAGCAATTGATACATTCATTCCATTCCTGGCAATTAACGTAACAAATATTCTTACCGTGATCTAGGGTTCAAGATATATTTTCCAATCATACTCCAAACATCAAGAATAAATTATTCCAAAGCACAAAGGATAAGAATAACAACATCAAAACATAGATTAATATCTCAAAATATCACCATGATACAAAAGAGTTCAAAGGAAGTGCACCGAATCCTAAGAGAATGAAGTTAGTCACTCATGTTGACCATTACAATGCTCCAATTGATGAAGAAGTGAAAAATTGATGAATATTGGACAAATCGTAACGTGTCGTGTCTCCTCCTCTCAAGACTGTTTACTTTTCTCAAAATACATCTTCTCTTTTTATTGGAAAAATTTGGGCTTTTGGGCTTCGCGTCTTTCGCTCGAGCGAGAACTTTCGCTCAAGCGAAAGTAGCTATTTTCGCTCAAGCGACAAAATGCTCACTTGAGCGAATAAACTCTAGAGAAAAATAACTAACATTCATTCAAGCAAATTTTCCTACGCTTGAGCGACCGACTTCCGAGAGAAGAATAACTGATATTCGCTTGAGCGAGTCTTGGCTCGCTTGAGCAAGTCAATTCCAGAAAAGAATAACTAACATTCGCTCAAGCGAGAATCCATCCCGCTCGAGCGACTTTCATGTTGAAAATCTTCTTCCTTTTTCCAGTTTTACTCCAATTCTGCTATCAATCATGCTCCTTACTCTTGTATCAAGGTATTCTTGAATTCATCCTATATTGGGAGAAAAATAGATTGGAATTAGCAATAGTTAAGTGGTTTCATAACAATTCAAGGTATAATTATATCTTTTTACCACTTAACAACT